TATATATCTTTTATTTTCATTGTACCTACCACCATTGAAAATAGTTAGCAAATACTTCAATAAAGGAAAGTTTGAGTCAATCAAAATTATGAAACTCTGGATGGTTATGTGTGAAATCTCGGCATTAAGTGCGAAGCGCTTCTAACCGATTCGTCGATTCTGTTGAGACATAAAACTAAAAGATCATATGTGATTCAAAGTTCTAAGTTTAAAGTTCAGATTAAAAGTCCTTAATGATGTGAATCATGCGTTGCAGGCAGTAAAACATCAATTGGAAGGGGTATACCTCCTGATTAAAGTCGTGAGCAGGTTTAGCACTTCTTGATCTCTCATCAATTCTTGAAGTTCTTTGATGAGGCTAACAAGTCGATGAGCACTGGAAATTGGGGTAGTATCCCTGTTTACTAATAGATAATAATATTTGGACGCGGGAAGTAGAGGCACAAGTGTAAGCAAACAGAATTTCCTTTTCTACATATATGTTAAGTGGATAATTTTAACTTTAGTGGAAATAATTGCTCAACAATTATCGAGTTTTAGAGGGAGATAAGAGATTTTTATATATTTCTTCCCCGTGGAATATTCTATAACATCAAGTCAAGAGTCTCTAACAATGGAAGTAAATTAATACATTTATAACTTTTTTTTAAAAAGATGCCATTTTTTCCATTGGCAATTTATTTTAAGTACATTAAAATAATCAAAAAAATAAATTATTAATATAAATATGTTCATGTTTCTAAAATAAGTACCGGTAAACAAAAGTGAACTCTTGCGAACCTATTAAAAGGAACCGATTAAAAGCAACACCTTTTAGAAACCACTACTCCAGGAAATATTTATTTAAGGGAAGGTATATCCAACAACGGGAACAACAAACCCACTAAATTTTTTTCTAAAAAATTGCTATTCTTTTCCCTAGGCAATTTATTTTAAGTTTATTAAAAAAAAATAACAATATTAAATAAATTGTGAATATGTTCACGTTTTAAAAAAATTAGTACAGGTAAACAAAAGTGAACTCTTGGAGCCTTTGTGAACTCATTCCAAGGAACCCTGATACCGAGGAGCACCTTTTAGAAACCGCTACTCTAGGGAGTATATATTGCAGTGAAGATCTATCCAACCCTCGATAACAGCAACCCAAACTATTTTTGTTAAAAAAAAATTGGTATTTTTTTTTCTAATAGCGATTTGTTTTAAGTTCATTAAAATAGTCGAAATATTAAACATAATATGAATATAAATATGTTCATGTTTAAAAAATAGTACAGGTAAACAAAAGTGAATTCTTGGAACCCTTGAGAACTCTATTCTAAGGAACTCTGATACCGAGAAACGTTTTTTAAAACCCGCTACTCCAGGAAGTATATATTTAAGTGAAGATCGATCCAACATCGGCAACAACCCTAGTATTCTATGAATGTAGTACACGTTATTTTTAGATTTAAAAAAATGCGCTCAAATGAAGGAAAGCATAACAACAAGCTTTTCCACAATGAATAATTTTCAGTCAAAAGTTTGTAAGCTGTACAAAATTTATTCATGTTTCTTGCACAAAATATGAATTAAGATTATTTTTTTCCCTACAATTTAACGCTAAGGAAAAGCAGGAATATGTTATGCTGGTCTTTAAGAAATGCAGTAACAATAGTAAAAGAGACGGGCATCCTCATTAAAATCCCAGAATGAAAAATGACATTCTTTTAAAGTTGTTGGCGATAGTAAGAAATTTCAGTAATTACCGTTAATTAGGCAATAAAGAAAACTCTGGTACTTTCCCAAAAGTGGAAAAAGGAAAAAAAAATTATTTTAGGGCTTTGTGATATAGCATTTGGTCTGGGGCAAGTTCAGAAACACTTTTTCTTTATAATTGAATTATTAGTTAAAAAAGTTGTTCACACTATAAGTAAATAAAAACAAGACGCATATTATACGTGTTAATTCGTTGCAATAAATTGCTTATATTCGTTTAGTACTAATATTTATCGCTCTTCTTTTATTTAACAAAAAAAAACAAANTTTAAAAAAAAAAAAAAAAAAATGTACTAGAATAGGTTGTAGGTCAGACTTTTTTTTGTGTTTAAAGTTTTCAAAAGTTTAAAACTTAAGTTGTAAATTTTCAGTTTTGATTTGTAATTACAAAATGATTCTTAGAAGGTTTTTGCATCAATCTTGTTAGTGGCGTAGTTATCGAGGCAAAACCCCCTACGAAATTATACATTACTTGATACATGAGCTATTGTACGGTAAGTAGGATGTTGTTTGTAATTTAAGCATTTTGAGAAAAAATAAGTTTATATATATATATATAAAGTCCTTAATGA